TTCATAGCGACAAAATAGAGGCCCGTGGAGGAGGTGACAGCATAGGAGTGCCAGCAGAAGAGGAGGACGGTGATATGGTGGTACCAGTGGAGGAACTGAAGAGCGGGCAGGGGAGGGAAAGGGAGAGGGGGGCCAATTCCATCGGAAGGGTAAGAAGCAGTGAGAGAGGGGTCGACATGCTCGAGGGGGGAGAAGGGGGAAAAGGTGCTCCTCCAGGACACGACAGCAATCTGATGGGTGATATGCTTCTTCGAACACTTTAAAAAGGGAGGGGAATGCCGGGGGGAACGCGGGAGACGAAGAGGAATCTGGCAAAGAGAATCAACGAAGGAAAGGAGAAAACCATGGAAGGGACCACGCCTTGAGTACCTGCAGCTTGCTTTTGCGGAAGACGATGAAAACCGTGTCGACGAGCTCGGGGACCTTGCTGTAGATGAAAAGCATAACCCAGAGCCCACAGGCCCCTTCTCCGTAGGTCTCAGCGGGGTGCCGGCAAATCGTGTCCTGGGTGGGGACGAACGGTAGAAGGGAAAGAGGAAGACGGACAGGCAAAGGCAGAGAAGTGTCAGCCAGTGATAGTTTTGATACGATTGGTGTCAGCAAACGGGAAGGAATGACAAGGAATGCTCGTCGGGTTTGAAAGGGAATGGGGAGGGCCACCTTAAAGGGCAGAGTCGTGACGTTTTGAAGGAGGTGTGGTACGGTGCGGAGCATGCCGCAAAAGGAGAAAACACTCAAGAGTAAGTTCCAACAAGCTAAGGCTGTTTTCCATTCATGCTTGGGTCGAGACTCCATAACCTTGGTGCCCACGACAATCATCAAGCCGTAGATCCCGCACAAAGCGAGTGGTAAGGCGGGCCAAGTATTTTGTGCGAAATTGACGTAGGAGGAAGCATGGAAATTTTTCTCATACTCTGTGTAGAACGGACTGAGTACGGGATAATGCTGGAAAAGCTGTGCGAAATATAGGTGTTGGATTAACGAGAATGAAAATTTGGAGTACCTCACACAGCATGACTGCAGGACTAAGCTGTCCTTTAGCCAAACAGAGCACCTATTTTTTCTTAAATCTCGTAGATTAATTATATTACACACTGAAATTGCGTGCGTGCGTGTGATAAAGTTGTCAACGCCTACCTGAGTAAAAGGCACGTTGTCGGGAACGCTCCGGTAGGGGATTATTTTCGGCATCTCTCCCCAGATTAGCTTCGAAAACGCCTCTGAGAGATTATTCATCCTCTCTGTATGCCAGATAAATATATTGTAGAGCCGTAGTTGCCGGTGAGACTGCTGTCACGGTTACTTGTGGCGTTCAAGGCTTCTTCTTGCACTTGAGGGAATAGGGACCCTCGTCCTGTGACAGAGAGGACAACGAAAGTGAAAAGGGGAAAAGTAACACAAACAGACGAGAAAATGCACAAAATAACGCTCCAGGTCGCTCAAAGCTCCTGAAAGGATGCGTTTGAGCAGTGGCCGATGCATGTGAGGCATCAAATCGTGAGCAGTGAGCGGGCTTTGCATAGACGTGTCCTGTGACAGATCTGCCGCGGCTCGCGGGCCGGCTCATGACTATGTTTAAGAGGCAGATTATGTTCTTTTCAAGCCCACGGGGCACAAGCGCCGCATGCCCCGTCACAAGAGGCACTATCACTTCCAAAACACCATGGGCAAGGCCCCGACACCGGGCCATGCATTTGTCTTGGCGTCGGGGTGACATGGTAGTCCAAGATATTTCAGCTCGCTCCTTCTCCAGAGCGACTTCGGACACGAAATGATACGTTCCTCTTATACCCCCGTCGTTTTGATTTGAAATGTATAAGTTTGCGTCCCAGCTGTAGCATCAAGTATTGAAATGACGCTAGAATTTCACTTCTGCTGCTAGCTGGGAAACCAAACGTGTCATATAGCCACGACCTTTTGTTTGAAGGAGTTGCCAGCTAGTGTCGAGGCGAGAGTCCAATTTATGGAAGGGCGTTAACCGATTGTAAGACATCACGCATCTAGAATTACCCAAAAGACGTCTGATGATTGAATAATTGTTTCTATTTTCCGTTCCAGTGTGAGAATATGGTGGATATCTACCCTAAAAAGTATCTAGATCTGTCGACATAAGGGGAAAGACCATCAAGGGCACTGGCTCGTCACATTCCAAACGACGAAAACTAGAATGGTTAGAATATGGACTAACAATTTAAAATGGAAAAAGCCAGAAAATGTGACAAGAGTCGTAAGCACAAAGACCACATTCTTTTTTTAATTCCTCAGAGAAACTACATGTGAGCATCACTGAGAGTTCCTTGATTGGGAGTCAAACTACCCATGGAACCGTCACACACTAAGACGCATAAGTACCAACCATTTCTTGAAACTGGTGGTATTATTGGTATCATTATTTTCTCTTCGACTGAGCAATTCTTGAACACTTCTTGATATCGAGATCAATGCGTGAAACCTCGCTTACGTAGGTACACGGACACGGCAACGACACACATAGTAATTCTGGATTCAAAGCGAAGATAACAGATGCCCTATGATAGCAATTTGATAATCCACGGACATTGTCGGGTGCTTATCTGACATAGACATCGAAGACTTCGTCCAGAAGAGGAGAACCTCCATAGTCTACGAAGACATAAAATGAAATGACGGTCCCAGATGGGTATCGTTTACCGATACGGAATTTATTGATGATCTTGTAATCTTTCAGCACGACCAAACCAGTAGTCGGAACGCTCATAAAATTTGTAGAGCCCGTGATGTTCGATCGGAGCCTGAGAAGGGTGCGGTGATTGAAGGTTTGAGTATTGGAAGGACAAGTTTGATGGAAAGAGTTGATAGATTGCACCACAAGCCTGCCAGAGGTATCTCTGCGTTTAATGTCTTCATGTTTTGCAACTTTCAGTTTGCTCACTTTGCAAAGTGATGTCGTACTTACTTGGGTCGCCATGTGTTGGGAATAATGCGGGACCTGACCAGCCTCACGTCGGTACTGTTGCCGTGCTTGCTGCTTTTCGGATGGCTGGTTTTGGTTTTGTTCTTGTTTGTGAAAGGCCAATAGTCCCCGTAAGGAGGAAGATCGTCTTCATTTGTTGTTGCCTTAGTAATGTGCATGTTGGCGATTGATTACGAGAAGTGTGTATCAGTTGCATGAGAAGTTGTAAGAAATCCTTTCTTATTGCTAGCATTTGTGTGATGCGTTCCTGCAAGGAGAAAATTAGTTCGCTCGGATATATATTGGCGCCGCAGCACCAATGCATGCACTTTTGCTGAGCAACTCACCCAATACAAGATTTCATCTGCGAAAGCAAGCTCACGAAGCTCACGGCGCCGTGTTTCTAAAAAGAGGAAGTTGGTTGTTAATGTAACTCGCCCCCCAGGTTTCACGGAGATGGGTTTCACAGTTGAGTGCCCAACTGCATCGAAAGTAGGAAATTGAGCAGTGGCTCGACCCTACGAGTTATGAGAGAATAGGTGGAGGTTAAGAAGAGGGCCATGTACAGGATTTGCGAAAGCATCAAGCGCCTCCGGTTGTATTTTGGCGTCAAAAGGTAGAGGACATCATGCCACGTGAAACTTACAATCGCAGAGATGATAACGGCGCTGGCCAAAATCAGAGAAGAGGTAGCGAACTTCATGGTGAAGATGTTGAAAAATGAGCTGTATATTGTATACTGTGCTGAAAATTGTTTACTATGGATGAGAGTGCTTCAGTGTTGATTGTCTTCCACATACGCGACGACACTTCCTTCACATGAACATCCCTGAATGTCGGTCATCCCTCAAAAGAGGAGAGCAGAAGAGCTGCAGAGGGAATTGTCTCAGAAAAAATATAGATATACATGTTGCATCTCCGTTCATACAGAGATGATGGGTGACTAAACAGAACAAGTTTCGAGGTCGTATGAGTATACGCTATGCCATGGAGAGCTAAGACTTGTTTGAGCAACGACTAATTATTAAGTGAACATGCGTTTTGATGCATTGTATGGGCCAGTACTGGCGGGAGACTTCAAGGTTTTCCATCTAAAATGTTTTAAACGAACATTTTATGCTTCTATCTCGTATACAAGAAAAGACAAATAAAAAATGCACGCAGTAATAAGAAGGAGAAATGAAGGCCTAGATTCACCAGGAAAATTCGCTACTTGTTCAATTCGGTTTCTAGCTTTTCTGCTTTTTCTGCTTTTTTTGCTTTTTTTGCTTTTTTCACCTCGCTTTCAGAAGACCGTGTGCTTATTTTCAACTTGACCGCTAAATCATATGTACATCCTGTCCTTTTAAACAACGCTTATGACATTACGAAACGTGAGCTCTTTTCGTGCGTACACAATGCATAATTACATTTCGTGTCGAATAGATGGCAAAGCCTTGGTTGTGACGGTGGCGTGACACATGGTATGGGCCAGGACGGCAGCCGTTCGTACAGAAACGCCGAGAGGCCAAAAAAAAGCGGATTTGGGTGGTAGCTAAGCCGGACAGTTTGTAACGATCGTTCCTTTCCATTTGCCTTTTGCGGGTGGTAGGTACGAGACTTAACGCTGGGATATGGTGACGTCGACACTGTTGGATACGGAGGGGGTAACACAGTTGAGCACCACATCCCTGGTTACGATACTGTATGACCGTATAAATAGGAAAAGAAAAGAAAAGAACCTTGGTGCTAGCTAAGCCGGGATGTAGCGAAGCCTCCTATTTACCTTTGGAAAATGTCGTACTTATATTTCATTGTTGTTGATCTCGATGCATTCAAATGAGAAGAAGTTGCGCATGTACACCCTCCATGTTCTCATTCTCGATGGCCTCGCAACTGACTAGGCCTGAGGCAACCGTGAAAATGCCCCCACCATATTATTGATATACTTTTATCCTATACGTGCAAGAAGGCTCCTAAATGTCGCTACATGACAATAAGGTTGGAAATTCCTCAGGGATTCGCATTCCTTAAGTTTTAAATCCGTGTAGAAAGGGTCCTGATAAAGTCGTTTTCTTGGTCAGAGACCGCTTTATTTTCCCCCAATAAACATCCCCTGCCAATCCTTGTTCCCTAACATCAATTCCTTCTTAAATGCCAGACCGATGTAGCCAACTATAATGCCTGTCTACAGCTTGATTTTGAATAAAGTTATCTTGAGTGTATTTTTGCATTGCAAATTTTCATGTACCAATGCTTCAATGATGTCGAGACAGCCCGAAAAGAAGAGCTTTTGTGATTTGTGTTTTATCAGAATTAAGGGCCCTACCTATCGCAAAGCAGGGTTTGTTAGGGTCAGAATTCAAAACAATTCTTAGATCTGAATTGACAGGTACGAAGAGTGCTTATTTCATTGCTCTACACGATAATGTACGCAGTCATACTTGAGATTGGATCTGAATGTAAACAGGAGATGCAACTTTATCTATCACGGATTGTAAGCAAAGTAATCAGTCAAGGTACAAATATTGTGACCAAAAAATCACTCTCACGTGAAGCATAGTAATTCGATAAGAGTGATGTGAAAATGCATGCCACGGTTTTGAAGGAAAAAAAGCAGGTCTTATTTGCAAGAACACCTACTTTTCATGTTTCATTTGATCCTCTCGATCATACATTACCATATACATGCCCGACAGTTGTTGGATCTCTCACTATCGGTCCACTGTCACGACGCTTCATCTTTCCTTTCTTTCAGCGCTTGCTAGGAGGGTTCTCTGCAAGCCGTGTAATAAGTATTACGATGACAGCAAAGGACTGGAGGCCCACGAAAAGCGGTACCATCCGAGACCACCATCACAGGACGGCGAAAGGGAGGCAAAAATTACGGTAGGAAAATGTTTCAAATTGACAGAATGTATATTTATAAACTAGAGAGAGGGCAGAATCATTCAATTGGGGTAGTGTTATTGAGATTTGGGGCATATTTAGATAGAGGGGACTGATTAGAGAGATCGGAACATATCGAAAATTTTCGCATGGTCGATGACGGGCAACACATGTGTAAGAGCCGCACAATGCCCCGAGATGGTTGAAGTGTGTAAGACCTGAGCACTCTTCCCACGGGGGTGTGATGCTCTGCACGGTACAGTGTAGGCCTGCTTCAGCATGCGCCAGAAAAAGCCCTCCCAGAGGGTACACTCGAAAGAAACAAGACAAGACAAGACTGGAGGACAAAGATTAAGGTTGGTCTTCCTCTCTTTCATTTCTCAACTGGAGATGTAAGTACATTTTTTCAAAAAGCGAAAAAGAAAATGAGGATTTTCTCTTTCACACCACGTTGGTCAATTTCCGACAGCTACAATTGAGGTAGGCTCTCTCTCTTACATATAATACGTGTATCTGCTTCCCACACTCAGTCACTCCTTCCTGAAGAGAAGGAATGAA